GGTAAAAAGAATATTTGAATACATGATGTATGTCCGACTTAAAAGAAATAGTGAAACATAAAATTAACTATTTACCTGAAAGAAAGGAACCTGGCTGAACTTAGTGCTGTAATAACTGTTAAATGTGATACATAAAAGGTCAAAACCAGCTTAGCTGGAGTTCAAGATGTGATCAGAATGTGATAAGCAGCTGGAAAGATAAATTAAATGTTTGGTAAGAGCGAATTTTATGTTAGAGAAATTTAACTTGGTTCACTGATGTTTGACTAGGCACTAAAGATGTTTGAGAAGAATGCCATAATCATGGCTTTACTTTAAAGAAGTTAATGTCGACAATTAGGTAAAATATGTGAGATTGATTGAATCCTGTTATTTTATTTTCCCAGCCAAATTGGCAAATTGGAATAAGGTCTCTGGTTTATAGTATTTCCTTAATGTTAATTCCTTTCTATGGATACCTAGTACTAATACTGTGGTTATGACGGAATATCTTTGTTTAGGAAATATACACTTAAGTGCGTAGAGATAAAAGGACATCATATCTATGATATCTGCAATTCCATTTTAAACATTTCAGAAAAAATGTCTCTGCTTTATAGGAAGAGCAGAAGAAAGCAAGTGTGATAAAATGTAGTATTTAGAGAATGTGGACAAATGGGACACAGAAATTCTTTGTACAGTAATTTTTTGTAACCCTTTTAAACATCTGAAAGAATGTCAAAGTGTTTTTAAATATTTTATTTATTTATTTTTAGAGAAAGGGGAAGGGAAGGAGAAAGTGTGGGGGAGAAACGTCAATGTGTGCTTGCCTCTCACATGTCCCCTACTGGGGACCTGGCCTGCAGCCCAGGCATGTACCCTGACTAGGAATCAAACCAGAGACCCTCTGCTTTATAGGCCTGTGCTCATTCGACTGAGCTACACCAGCCTGGGTTCTCAAACAATTTTTAAAGAAAAGTATGTCAATGATGTAAAATAGATTACAAGATGTCTAGACTGTGAGAACTTGGGCACATAATGGTGAAAATCTACGTTAGCAGCTTTCTGGAGGGAAATTTAGGAGAACCTATTAGAGTTTGAGACGTATACATCTTTCAGTTCACCAACTCTATTTCTGGCACCTGCCTCATTGAAATAGACATTTATGTGCACAATATTTGTTACAGTACTAGTTGTATTAGAGAAAGAAATAAAAATTTTGTCTAAAAATAAGTTTCAAGCACATTCGTGCTATTGAATATATGTAGGAGGCAAAAGATACATTTATGGACATTCAATATGTCCTCTCATAGAAAGACATAAAGACATTGAATGAAACATTGCAAAACTACATGTATAGTAAAATCCACTTCTTGTTAAATTCTCCCCCCACCTTTATTTATTTATTTTTGGCACATAGCCAGATAGCCTACCAGGTCCTTTATGCAGTTCAACATACATGATGATACCAAGTTAAGACAAGTGATGTTCCAGTTTAGGTACCTCCATCTCTGTCCTTGAATCCTGATCCAGTGGCTGCCAAAGTCAGAAGGGGCTTGGGATGGGGTGGTTGGTCATGGGGAAAGCTGCAGTGGTTGGCCCAGCAGATGAGGAAGGGGAAAGTTTCACTTCACTATCCGAATGGCCTCTTTGCCCTCCAACATATGGTCTTTACCCACTTGTTAAGGATTCTGTTTCAAAAAGCAACCCTGGACCAGAGCCCATTTAAAATTACATAGAGGTTGTAAATGCCTAGAGCCAGCTCTGGATGGACACAAGGCAGTGGTGACCTCTGGGGAAGAGAGAGAAGAGTTTGAAGTCAGAAGGCTATTTCAACAACTTCAAGTGCTTACTTTAAATGCATGTTTGTTTTATAATATCTGAAGATATTCGTGTATTACTTGTGCAATTAAAACATAAATATCATAATGTTAGTTCAAAAATAGAGTTATAGTGCAGTGAGATCTTACATTGCTGTAATGGTCTGATTAAGAATGGGAAACTGCATGAGGGTGGTGTCTGCAGAAATAGAAGGTGGAAGGTGTAAGAGACACAGTCTATAGTACATGGTACTTGGCAGGATGTACAGTGTGAGAAAGGAAGAAAGTTTTAATGTGTGACTGTAATGCTGATGGCTTTAACAGAATTAGAAAATAAGAGAACCTGCTGATTTATGAGAACACAATTTTTATTTTAGAGACACTGAATTTGACATACTGATATCCAAGTTGATATACTGCAAAACTTCTAGAAAGGCATAGTGTTTCAAGTACACATTAAAACCACCTCGTGGCTAAGTGACTAAATGCTTGAGATAACAGTTATGAAGCAATAGTTAGTGGATGCTGATTGTACTTCTTTGTTATGACCAGTGTCTAATATTCCCTTTGTAGTTATATATACATACTTAGTCCTGGGATAGCTACTTATATCTACTTAGGTATCAAAATTTGTCTTAAAAGGCCAATATTATACAATGTTATATTAAAGAAAACAATTCATTCACATTATTTTGAATGAATAAATTCTTACATAATGAGACCAGTTTTCCACTTGGTATATTTCCCACTTGAAACTCTACCTAACTCAGACTCCCTAAAATAAGTAAGATTTGCAAGTATAAAGAAGATATATGCACATATAATTATTGTAAATAAAATAATTTAAATGGTTTACATCCTGTTGAAGACCTTTTCTTTTCTACCAGTACCATTACCATATTATTGCCTGGGTTCTTATAGCATATTCAAGTCCATCAAAAGGGTTGCTTGTACGATTTTAAAAACTATTCAAATAGCTAAGTTTTCATAACTAGGAGGTGCTGAAGAACTACAGAGGGTTAGCTTACATCCCATTTTTTTAAAATTTAGTAATCAGTGAGAATCTTTTTATTATTTTGTAAAAAATATTTATTGAATTTACTGAGTTGACATTGGTTAATAAAATTGTTTGGGTATTTAGTTGTAAAATTCTATAAGACATCATCTGTGTATTGTATCGAGAGTTAACCCTCCCCCCCAAGTCAAGTCTCCTTCATCAAAAATTTTCACCCTTTATCCTCTTCTACCTTTCCACGACCCCTTTCCCCTCTGGTCATAGCCATACTTTTGTCTGGGCCTTAGAGTTATTTTCTTTGCTTAATCCTTTCTCCTTTTTCACCCAGCTCCCCAAACTTCCTCTCTCTGACGGCTGTAAATCTGTACTCTGTACCCGTGAGTCTGTTTCTATTCTGTTTATCAGATTTCACATGTAGGCGACTGGCTTATTTCATTTAGCAGAATACTTTCCAGGCCCATTCATGCTGTTAAAAAAGATAAGATTTTCTTCCTTTTTTAGGTCCAAGTGGTATTCCATCGTGTAAACGTACCACAGTTTTTTTATTCACTCATCTACTAATGGGCACTTGGGCTGCTTCCCAATCTTGGCTTTTGCAAGGCTAGCTTTTCAAACTGGAGGAGAAATAGAGTTTCCCAGACAAGAACAAGCTAGAGAAGTTTGTTACCACCAAACCAGTGTTATAAGAAATGTTAAAGGGTCTTCTTTAAGAAGAAGAAAAAATAGTAAAAGAACACAGTTAGAAGAACAATATGTCAATAATTACTTACTTGTCAATAATTACTCTAAATGTAAATGGCTTTCAGGGATGTCCAACCTTTTGGCATCTCTGGGCCACACTGGAAAAAAAGAGTTGCCTTGGCCACACATTAAATACATTGCTACATATAATCACAAACAATCTCAATGTTTTAAATAAATGTATAATCTCGCATTGGGCCGCATTCACAGCCATCCTGGGCCGCACATAACCATGGACTGCAGCTTGGACACACCTGGGCCAAATGCTCCAATCAAAGGACATAATGTAGTGAATACATAGGAAAATAAGACCCATATAAATGCTGTCTACAATTGTAGAGACCCACCTTAGACTGAAAGACACACACAGACCAAAAGTAAAGGGGTAGAAAAAGATATTTCATGAAAAAGGAAATAAAAAAGTGGGTTATCAATACGTAAATCTGACAAAATAGACTTTAAAACAAATGTTAAGAGACAAAGAAGGACACCACATAATGATAAAGGGAACAATCCAACAAGAGGATATAACTGTTTAGTAAACATTTATGTACTCAACAGAGGAACACCTAAATATGTAAAGCAAATCTTGAAGGACATAAAGAAAGATACTGAAAGAAATGCAGTCATAGTAGGGGATTTTAACACCCCATTGACTTCATTGGATAGGTGTTACAGGCAGAAAATCAACAAGGACACAGCAGCCTTAAATGACACACCAGATCAAATGAATTTAATTGATATATTCAGAGTGTTTCACCTCAAAGCAGCAGGATATACATTCTTTTCACATGCACATGAAAAGTTTTCTTGGACAGACCACATGTTAGGCCACAAAATGATTCAATAAATTTAAAAAGAGTAAATCATATCAAGCACTTTCTCTGATCACAATGCTATAAAACTAGAAATCAATCACAAGAATAAAAACTGAAAAACACACAAAGATATAGAGGCTAAATAACATGTTACTAAATAATGAGTGGACGAAAAATGAGATCAAGGAAGGAACCAAAAGATACTTAGAAGAAAATGAAAAGGAGACACAACAACCCAAAATAAAAAGGACAGGGTGAAAACCTACAGACCTACCTCAAGAAACAAGAAACTCGAATAAACAATCTAACTTTACACTCAAAGTGACAAGAAAAAGAACAAAAGACAAAAATCCAAAGGAGTAGAAGAAAGGAAGTAAGAAAGATCAGAGCAGAAGTAAACAAAATAGAGCCTAAAAAACAACACAAAATATCAGTGAAGCCAAGAGCTTGTTCTTTGAGAAGATAAACAATACTGACAAGTCTTTAACCAAACTCAAGAGGAAAAAAGGAACCAAATAAGTAAAATGAGAAATAAAAGAGAGCTAACAACTGACACCAAAAAAATGAAAAGAATTGTAAAAAAATATTAAGAACTATATACCATCCTTTAAAAAGTAATGTCTTCAATAGAATAGCATTAAATTACATGTCAAAATTTGCATAAACAATATTTAAATACATGTAAATACAATATTTAAATTATTGAACTGGTCATACAAATCTCAGCTGCAATAAAACTCTTCAAATAATGTAAATCTATTTGGTCTCATGTTTATGTCATGTGAATTACTGATAGCTCTAATTTCTGCTATGGAATAATAAAAAAAGTACATTGGCTGTGATATTACCAGGAAATGGAGGTCTTAGAGAACATAAAGTGCCTATTTTCAGGTTGGAACATGATAAAAGTAACTACATTTAAGTAGTCTAGACTTTTAGCAAGAAAGAAAATACAAATAGAACATAAACAAAGAGATTTACTTAATCTTCAAATATGTTGTGACAAATCAAAAAATATTTAAATGCAGAAATTTAAAAATATTTAATGCAGAATATTTAAAAAAGAAAACATTTTACTTTTGCCTAAAATATTTAAGCATTTTAATAAAATAAAGAAGTTAAAGTACTTAAATTATTATGGGCTTTAACCCCTCTCCTGCAATACAAGTTACTTCTAGTAATAGAGTATTTTCCTTCTGGTTTCTTAAAAATGATGTGAAATCACACATCCTTTACTATATTTCTATTTAAAATATTTACCACTCTTTGTAAGGCACAATGATTGGGTATACTCTGTATCAGCAAAGTAAAGTCCATGAAAATATATTTAGGTTTTATGTGGATTAAACATAATTTCTTTTATCAGAAATATTTAATCAATATATCTGCATTTTTAGTTTATCAGAAGCCAGAATTCAGTATGTCTTTATATTAATCCAGATTTCTTTTTGCTTCAAAATTGATTGCTGTGTTTTATCATCTGGCATTTTGACAACACAGGCACTCTTTAAAATGAGTTGATTTTAAAAATTAGTAAATTTTTTAACTTTATTTGTCCACAGAGCCCATGTAATTATAGCCGATATACTTCTACTTACAAAGTTTAAACGATATGTATTATAATTTTGCTTAATCTGTGATAATACCTACTAAAATTATACAAGAATAAGATGGCTTTCTCTGAAGGTTACAGGGAAGGGCATGTGAAACACTACATTAGAACGGCGATCGTAACAGGATTCGGCGTGCACGTGACTATCATCGGTATTATCTGAAATACTTGCAGTTTATGCTAACTGAAGGGAATTGTTTGAATTTTATTTTATGTAGTATGCTTATCCTTCATTTATTCCTAAAGCAATATGTTTGCTATACATATATACATCATTATTTAGCACATATGTAACAAGACCATGCTGCCATTCAAGATGAAGGTGCCACATGTTTAGTTTGTTGGTTGGTTTGTTTTTTACAATCAAATGGCATCCAAAATGCAATATATTGCTATGAAAATGCAAAAATTTTCACAGGTTGGCATTTATGAATGAGGTTGGTAACAATGAAATGGGATTTTATTTTATACCAATGGAAATGATTTATCATAAATATATAGACCAATATATAACATTGAAGAACAGGAAGCAGAATGGAAACAATGCTCTTGCATAAAGATCAATTCTCTTTGCTGCTGTAGGAATAACGGGTTTGGCGGGGGGCGGCTTCTTGTTGCTCTTTGCCTGAGATTTCCCAAGTCCATTGTTGACTTCAATAGGTTTTCCATAGCAGTCATAATTGGATAATTCAAAATCTCTGGGTAAGCTTCCAACAATGCTGAAGTCATTAGATCTCAGGTCAGACTTAGAAGTACAAACTTTTTTGCACCTTGTCTCACCAACCTGGAAGGAAAAATTAAACACAGAATGTATCTAGAATTTTCTATTTATACAAAAAAAAACCCCACATCTCTTCAAAAGGATATTTTAGAAATCAGATATAATAGTCATCTGACAAAACCATCAGACTGCCCGAACTTTAAACTCTAAAATGCAGCCTGTATAATAAGGCTTATGTCATGGAATGAATATTAAATAGGTTGTTTTATGTTAAGGTATCAAAATGCAAATAAACATTCATTTTAGCTGTTCCCAGGCTTGTGAGTCTTCAACTGAAAGACCAATAAGTACACATCCAGCATTTAACCACACCATAGATCATAGTCCTCCAATACATGGCTTACAGAAACCTCCGGGTGCTCCTAACCTTTGACTTCCCTGCGGACCCTGTTTCCAAATGGGGTGGTTTACAAATGACCAAGGTACTTACCAACCCAATGGGATAGATTGCTGTCTCTAAACCACACTCACAAAAACTAAAAGGTGGTCACAATTATCGTGAACCAAAGATTGGCTAGTGAAAGGTGTTCCTAACGTGGACTGAAGTTGAATAGCCAACCTCTTAGAAAATCAAAAGGAATTGTGTATATTTCAGCCAGATTGTATTCTATAGACATTAGTCTGTTAATAATGAGTTATTAAATTGAAATTCACTCCCAATATATACACGACTTTGAGATATCATTCACAGATAAATGGATAGATAGATGATGGATAGATAATTTCCAGGCCTTCCAATAAATTCCCCAATTTGAAATTTTAAATGGCCATTTTCAGCAAGCAGTGTGCCATCCAAGCTCCCTCACTATGCACACACACCCACACTCACACTCATAGCCTTTCCTATAAGTGTTCCAGACAGAAGACCACATGTAAAGCTCCAGCTTGTCAGGGCTGTGTGAGGAATGTGTAATTCTCAGCATGTGTCAGTGAATTTCTGTATAGAGTACATCATCGCCCTGATTGGAAGGGAAGTTGAGAACAGACTACATACCAAATCTTTGCATCATCCTCAAGCTATCAAAGAATCTTCAAAGTCTGGAACACTGTGGGTATCCCAGTCTTTTTCTATTTTTCTCCACTCTGAAAGCTTTCAGTGCACTAACTCTGCTTTAGAATCCACTCATGAAAATAAAGAACTCTAGTTTTAGACTTAAAAAGCATGACTTCTTATTATTTTGATTTTTGTTTTACACATAAAAGGTCAAATGCATTTATGACAGAAATGCATTTACAATAAATCATATTTTATATGTAGCTTTAGGCGTGGTTTTAGTTGTAAACAACCAAACAAGAAGTCAAATTTGTATGACATTATAACTCATCACACACAAATACTTGAAATTTTCTAATCTGTTTTATTTACTTAAACAGATTCTTAGATTCTGCTGGCAATTTTAATGATGTTAGAATTTTATCTACCATATAATCTACTCAAATGTTGGTATAGAATGTTTACTTAGAGAGATTATTTAAATATAGTAAACATGTCAGTAAGAGAAGAATAATTTCTTCAATGAAAAATAATGTAAATGTACTCCAAGAGCTTCAATTTGGTTATACTAAATTTATAACCATTTATTTTATTAAAACCTTTTCCTGGGAGGTAGTTGAAGATTTCTGTACTCCAGTAGGATTGCATGTGTGTGTGTATGTGTGTGTGTGTGTTGGTGGAGAGAATTTCTGCTACAGAAGTGATTTTTAATGCCCTGACTCAAGTAAGTAAAGTTTAAGATTAAGTTTCTACTGGGAAGTCCTCAGGTTCCTTAAATAGCTCATGATTCATTAACTAATTGGCTGGTCTCATCTTGCCCCATTCATCAGAGATTTGACAGAGACAACTTTCTCTTTTAGTTACTCTCTCCACATAAGTATTGTATCATCTATGTACAGGAAAGTACAAAAGAGTTTACAATATAAATACTATTTTAAAGAATTATAATACCACATGAAGAGGGATTAAATAAACTGCTTATACGTAAAACAGTAATTCTACTTAACACATTCTTAAAAGTGATCTTGGTTATATTAATCTCTAATTTATGATTTCTCATTTTTCTTCATATGAATATATGTCTCATTTTCATATAAACTTGTCACTTCTCAAAATTGCTAAATGAGGTAGTATAATAATGAAACTGTCAAAAATGTTGAAAAGTAATGCAGACAAAAAACCACCTAACACTTCAAATTTTAACCTCTGAGCTTTTCCTTCTAGTCCTTTTCAGTATGCATCCACACACATTCAAAAGCAAACCACCTTGTATGATATCTCTTCAACAGAAGGCTTAGGCATGATTTCAGTGTGATAGTGGTATTTCTACAGAAGGGAAAAATATGCTCAGAAATGAATAAATGCTATATATTATACAAAATTTAAATCAATCCTTAATTTTAAAAATGTACTATTCCCATAAAGAAAGAACTATCTCATTCATGTGTGACCAGTAGCTTTTATTATTTAACTTATTCAAATTCATAGGCATGGATTTTTGTCTTTTTTTTTATTTAGTTATTTTTCAAGTACAGTTTTCTGTCTATTTCTCCCATCCCAGCCCCCCCACCCCGTGCTCCCCACCTCCCTCCCATTTCCTCCCCCCCAGTCCTCATCCCTGTGTCTTTCATACTTGTTCCTCAAAATCCCTCCCCTTTTCCCCCCTTAAATTCCCTTCCCTCTCCCCTCTGGTCACTGCCCACTTGTTCTCTATCTCAGTGTCTTCAAAATAGCTTTGCCATAAATGGCACGTGCTGCAGACTAGGTGTTGAGATGATGATGATATGACAGCAGTAGGTCCTCAATGGTACTTATTCAATGAAAAAGGAATACGTGAATGAACAAATTAGTAACCAAAGTATTGGAATGGCTGAGGAAATACAAAAGTTAGGGAGGGAAAACCTAGGCAATTATAAATGTATAATAGTATATTTTTATATGTAGCTGAAATGATGAAAACTTCTTACTAAAAGCTAGGGTAAATTATCATTATCTTTCTTAAATTTTTTATCATTGCTTTACTTAGCAAAAATAATATTATTTTAAAATCAGCATTGTATTTTTCTACAACCCAAATTTTATTATGCTTACATTAATTAATACTGTATCTATTTAAAAATAAATGACATATGATCGGATTGAAATTACTCAGCAAAAGGTTATGTCCTAAAAGTAAAATATACTGGAACAAATATATTTTGAAACCAAAAATATAACTAATTTTTTCACAGGAAAACCACTAAATTAAAAGGCAACATTTTTATACTTCCTCTTTATACTTTCTTTCATTTGTCAGTGTGCAACCATCTTACAAATTTATTGTGCCTACATATTTACTGTAAGTTTGATGTGACATTAGAGCTATTTCTGGATATGTATTCTCATTTTGGAGTCTCAGGATACAAATATTACATAGTTATATAGTCTTCATTTTGGCTATTGCATTTTGGCCTGTAAGAAGTAAGAGTAATCTATATTTATTTCTGGATATTAAAATTTCTAGTCAATGTTTAAAATCCCTAAGCATCACTTAGGGATGGCATTGCAAAAATGGCATTGCAACTCCAGAATCCAGACAGGTGTATTTCTATTAGCAACTGAAAACACAGAGAATTAAAATATATAGAAGTTCCTAAAGATGTTGAATTTCTATTCATTGGGTAATTATTTCAATGCTGGAAAGGTGAATTTAGATAATTTAATCTAATATTCTGGATCCTATTTATTCTTCATATTTACGTTCACAAATAATCTCCATATGTTCTCCAGTACTCTGAAAATCTGGTTCTCTTATGTCTCCTTCCCTCCATACCCCACTTCACGGAATGTATTAAGCTCATCTGCACATTGGTGTTGTGTGTTGCTGGAGAATTTCTGCAGTTACTGAGGCCCCACCACACACCAGAGAGTGGAGCTGAGTGTGGCACTACTGGAAATCTACAGAACATCTTTGCTTTGGTCTCCTCATCTCTTCCCCAGGGTTCGAGTTAGAGGGATGGAGGATTAAATGGTGGGAAACATGAGGAAGTGGTAAAAGATTGTGAGATGTAAATGGAGAGGCTCGATATGGCATGTAGAAGACTTCTTTAAAGCACAAGAGTTCTGCATTAATGAAAATTTTATACTTATTCTTCATAAAGTGGGTCAGGGTATTAAAGAGTTATAAGGTCTAAAGAAAACTCCTGCAAGTTTACAACTAAGAATTTGCAGAAGTTTTGGCTACAGGCTTAGAATATGAGTTTAATGTCTTGACAACAAGAAAGAAGAAAATCTATAGGCAGCACCACATGGGAACTGTTTGTGCTCGTGTACCTGAAGATACGTATGCCATGAACTTGTCCAATTAAGTAAGAGGAGTAGTCAGCAGACTCATAGGGTAGTATGGGGCTGGGACATACTCAGAGGAAGCAAGATTTTTCCAGGTTATAGGATGCTATGGACCTCTTAGTCTCTTGGGGAATATACCATGGAAAGCTCAATAGAAATGATTACCTCATTTATTAGTCTTCATAACCAGAGTTCATCAACAGAGGCACTTGGGGGAGAGTGGACAGCTATCCCTAATCAGTGCAGCAGCCTGTTGCTCCAGTATGTATCAATACCTGAATTTATAAACATTGCCCACTATTCTTAGACCTATGACCAAGCACAAGACAATGTGAGGGGTTAAACCTGTCCAATTCTTCTCCAGGCAACTCAATGTTGGATAGGGCAGATCCAAAACTATAGGCATAGTTTCCCTATGGGCCAGGCATCCAAGGAGTAAGTAACCTGCCTGTCACATTCTGTGTAAAACTCTCTAACCCGACAGGGAATATGTAGGGCGTTTAATCAAGAGCATGCTCCTCTAAGCCTTCACTGTTGGTACAAGGTCAGTGCTTCCCCAAGAGTCCTCCGGCCTTTCCCTAAGGCTTATCCAATGAGGCACAGTAAGGAGGTCTGCAGTTCTGGCAAGACCTCCACATGGATGGTGTCCAACACAGCAGAAGGATATCATTAAACTCAGTGAAAAGTCCTGAAGAAACTTGGTGTTGATTTTTTCTTAATTAGTATGTGATCTAAGTGTTTTCTAAAAAGTATGCTGTGATTAGTTCCTTTCCATTTATGAGTGGAGAATGAGTGAATACCAATTCTATCAAACCTTTACACCCACAGAAGGTAGCTCTCCTGACACTACAGAGAACCATGCCGGGCGGGGGGGGGGGAGTAGAATAGTTTCATTGGAGAATTTCATTCTTACCTGCAAAGTGCTAATGTGAACCGGAGTCCCTGTACCATTCACGGTATTCTTTTTAGCCACATTTCCACCTTTTCCATCTGCTTGCTCAGCTTTAGCAATCCTGGCTTTTTCTGCCTCCACGCGTTTTGGGTTATTCAGCATCACCTGGACAACCGCGTACTCCACAAGGGAAGCAAACCCAAAGAGCAGACAAGCAATGAGCCAAACGTCTAGAGCCTTCACGTAGGACACCTTGGGCAGTTCAGCAGCAAGTGTGGTACACTCAGAGGCCAAGCTGAGTACTGAAAAGATACCTACAGAAACAGCAGTGGGAATTAAAGTCGCTAGTTAGCCCTATGAAAAAATACCCTGCAATCGTTACTCTTTGACTAAATCCCTCTCCAGTACCCTCCAAAAACCCATGAACCCATCTGATCCCTTTAAAGCACAAAGAGTAGAAGAGATAATATTTACATACTTTTAATGGAAGCATTATTAAAAGTTACTGGGGATGTTTGCAAGTTCTCAGCATTTTAAATAAAGAAGTATAAATTTAAACAGGTATAAAAACACATTTTGGAGCTGTTTTAAATATTAAAGCCATCTAAAATTATTCTATAGTATCTCTGAAGAAGCCACACAGGTTAGTTCATGTTTCAGCATTCTTTTCGGCAGCCATAGAGTTGAATTTTATCCCATGAACAACTAAATCAGAACAAGAACATATAAAGCAATTTTCTGATAAGGGTCACAATTTAAAAATATAATAGAAAAGACAAAGTAGAGAACATCCCTGGTTATTTCAAGGAAAACAAATGGTTCCGGTTTTCAAGGAAACGGTAAAATTCTGCTACATGTAATATTAACAGCACAAGGAAAGCTAGCTCCAAAGTACCTCTGGGAGCCTGTCATTTCAACTAACACAGGCGTGGACAAAAGTAGGCTTACAGTTGTTCACATGGAAAAAGACATGCAGGTTGTGATTATTACAATAGCTATACTAACTCAAAAGAATGTCACAGTAGCAAAAAAAAATCCTACTTTTCCCACCCTTTATTGCATAAGAGTAAGACATTCCTAAAAAAGCAAAAAAAATTTTTTTTACTATTTGGGGAAATGCATAATATTCTCAACAAATCTAAAAATTTAAGTCTAGTTTTGGGTATTTTATTCCCAGAACATTATACTACATAGTTAATTCTCATTCTCTAAGTCAGGGATGTCAAACTCATTTTCACCTGGGGCCAGACACATCAGCCTCGTGGTTGCCTTCAAAGGGCCGAATGTGATTTTAGGGCTGTATACATGTAACTACTCCTTAACTAGGGCCAAGGAGCTCTACATTCAGCCTTTTGAAGGCAACTGAGAGGCTGATGTGGCCCCTGGTGAAAATGAGTTTGACCCCCGCGCTCTAATTAATATATCAGTTGTCAGTGTCTTCAATACAGATCCATAACCCTTAGAATACAATTCCCCACCTTTTTTGGTTATTAAAATACAGACTTGGTCTTTGTCATTTTCATTAGATGTAAGCTACCAATTTTCTTATTCAGACAAAGTTGTCATTTTCATTGCTTCTTTCCCAGTTTCCTTGTTTCTAAACTCTGTATGTCATTTAATTCTTCCTATAAGTCAGGAGGGAGGTTGGCAGGAGGCCTTTCTGATGGACGAAAAAATGAAATGCTACGAGCAGTCAGTCACTGAGATGTCAGATAATTCCCATTTTCACCCACGTAAGTTCCAGGTGATGTTCAGATCACACACACACACACACACACACACACGGAGTAACGAAAAATGTTTAAAAACACTCCAGACAACCAAAACTTGTTACAGTGTCCTTATTTTGAAGTTCATTCATTTAACCTATAAGAAGGGTTTCTATAGCAACACAATTTTCAAGTCTGTCTAAGGTGTTTCTATGTCACAGAGCATGAAAAACAACAAATTGCCAAGTGTGGATAGCCAGCCCTCACCCTCTCCAGCCACTGTTGATGATGCAGCACATCATAACTGATGTGTAGGGAAATGATGCATAGTCATTTCTGAAGGAATTATAGTTTATATCCTCTGATTATAAGAGCATGAGAGTATGAAATATTACTTAGATGGTTTGCATTAAAATGATTGTTTCTAAGTCTGTCAGTATTGGCGACTTTCGAGTTTGATTATCTGTGAATATCACAGAAAATACACCAAAGACACAAAAAGAAAAAAAAACTTAGTTTAACTGCAGAGGGTGCAAATAATGAGAAAATCTAGTTTAATGCCAAGTTTTGAAGGAAGTAAAAAATAAAAGGAAAAAAAAGGTTGCCATCAATTCCCAAACTCATTATTTCAAAACACTTGGTCATACACTTAGTTACACAAAGAGAGAAGCACGGAGCACTTTACCCAGCGGCACTCGGGCAGCACTTGCGTCCGGGTTGATCCAGAAGGAAAGCCAGGACAGAACCACGATCAGCAGGGTCGGCGCGTAGACACCCATCATGTAGAACCCGACCTGTCTCCTGAGGGTGAAGATGACTTCCACACACGTGTAGTACCCTTTCCAAAACAAACATGGAAAGTGTGAGGTTCTCACCCACATACAACATCACAATCAATAAGGGACCTATAAGTCACTTTTATTTGCAATTTCACAAAGCAAACTCCACCAAAAGAAGTTTTTTTTCTATAAATATATGACATTGATGTGATGGAAGAGGATGACATTATGGATGTCAGGGTTCACCTGACCTCACACAACTTCATTATGACATTGAGAAATAGATACCACATGTGGCTGCACTAGTGCCCGTCTTGGCTTTTACGCTTTTGTTCAGAGAATCTGCAATGGACTTGGAATTGTCATTACCCACGGCTACTCTCCAAGTCAATGGTCCAAAAAGGAATTCTACAGGGGGCAGGGAATCAAAGCGGGGCATGTCCAAAAGGAACACTCCTGGGCTGTGCATGGTCATATTAATTTCTCAGCCACGTATACTACTCCTTACCTAGGAAGGATGGCCATCTCCAGTGACTTATGTGCATATTTAAGCCTTACAAAGTAAAGTATTGGAAGTAAACATTAGCAAGAATAAGAAGTGTGTTCTCATTTTATATAGATACAATATTACAAAGCACAGGCACCTGAGGTTCCTCTCAATTCTCCCTTCCTCTGCCCCAGGCCCTCAAATGTCAATTTCTCTAGCTGAGACAAATGCAGAAATTGCTTTACGACATAATTCTAGAGCTGCCCTGACATCAGCTAGTCCCCAGACTTAATCACAAATTATGAGCAGCCTCATAATAACCTTTGCTGACTTGAGACAGAAAATAAGTGACACAGATATTTGCCTAGCCCTGGAAAATATTCAGATATTTGAGTCTATTTTTTAAATGTTTTAAGCCTTTCAGTCAGCAACTTAAATACACTAGTTAATGCCTAAAGCACTTAAATAAAAATGTCTTTTACCATTCAACATAAGTAGGGTTATATAAAATACCAAGAAGTTAAATATCTTCCATTGTGTTCAGCTTAAACTGTACATTGTTACTTATACATGTTGATACAAACAATGAATAAAATAATTCTAAGGAAAGGACAATATTACATTTAACTAGTTTACATTTTAAAAGTAATATGTATCTGTTATTCTTGGTTGGGAAGGATGTATATACTTCTGACACTAGAATGATTTATACATTTATTCACTAATAGTAACTAAGCAGTACTCACATATGTTAAGGTTTTAATACATGTAAATAAAAATTGCTATTACATCTTCTTAACAAATAACTTAGATTAAGAATCTATTTTTCCAGTGTGAATTATATTATGGCTACTTCTGTGAAATTAGAAAAATATTAAAGCTAATATGTAAGAACACTAAATAGTTGATTTGACTGAAGCAAATTCTAATTATGTCAAATGTTTCCATATTATATCAAAAAACTATAAATGCATAGTGTTTTTTCTTTTTAAATTTTAATTTCTTTAAAAATAGACAATTCCATTAAAGTTTACACAGGTTTAAAAAAAGTCAATACAGTAAAAATTTTAATAAAAGTCAATACAGTAAAAAATTTCTCTCCCTTTTCTGTCCCCAGCCACTTATCCTAGCTTCCTGCCTGAACAAACAAGAGCATATGTTTCTAACTAACAATCGTATGCAAAATAGCCAAAATACAATCTTTCATAAATTCAATATGCTGTGGTTAAGAAGCTCACAGTATTTTCTCCATGTGGTTCTGAAGTACCTGGCTTTATAACAGCATCACTTGCTCAAGTTAAATTTATAGTTACCAGTCGTGCGGGAAATAGAGAATGACACAATGTGCTTATGTACTTTGGGGTAGCCTTAGTGGTCGCAAATATGGTAACAATTCACTGCAGAGTTGTTCACTTGAAGACGAATATTTGCATTTGATCTCCCCATGTTTAAATGACAGTCTAAATAACATGAGTCCTGGATTCTGAAGCAAGTTTCCACATGTCCCTTTATGAAGCCACCTCTGGGGGAGCTTCCCAAGATTTGGATGCATTTGGCGATAAATACATGCTTGGATATTATTGCAATTTGCTCCATAACTTTTATGAGAAACATTTCTTGATCTTTTTTTTAATCTTTTCCTGGTAGTCTTATTTTATGAGAGGCAGGTGGGGAGCTAATTGATAAAAATGTTCATTGGCAAATTTAATTTACTTTCTATTTCCTGTGGGGTTTCATTTCCTTATTATCTACTCAGGCTTCCAATTTAAGTATTTCTGTGTACTTGTTTTCCCATACATTTCTCTGCCTTTGAAATTTCTACAATTACAAAAAACCTAACTCTTAATGAAGTTAAGGCCAATTTATTATTAATGATATTTCTATACACGATAAAGAAAATGTTGGCCACTATTATATATGTGTTATTCCTTATATCTTTTTCAATGTTCTACTCAATTAAGCAGCCCATATATTTTGAATATTCTATTTTTCTAAATACATTTCAAAATACCATCCATGTATTAATTTATGTTTTACTTATATTCCTATGACTCAAGTAAATGTTCATAAAGCATGTTTATTGAAACACAGTGCCAATTACTGTTAAGTTAGCCATAAGGTTTTTTGTTGCTATTTTTCTGTAACTCAAACAATTCTACACAACCCTTTACTTAACATAAATCTTCATTAATCCCCCAAATACTCTCTGTCATAGCACACCTTCTCATTTCCTTATCAGAACTAAAATAAACTGTATGTGTTTACTTGTTTACCTCGTTAGAGCGTGAATTTAAAAAGGGCACAGACCTATTGTTCATTCACTCTTGAGTCCCTCAATGGAGAGTTTTAAATGAAGGGCTCCAACGTGAGAAAACTAACACCCCCATAATTTTCAATGCTGCTACATAATTTTATGCTTATTAGTTAAAATTAGGAATGAAAGTATTAGGTTAAGTTCACCTCTATACAATTTTAAAACTTCAATAGGACATACTATATTTTATTGAAAACAGGATAGGGACTGTTTATTTTGAAATGTTAAGCACATAGTCTGGATGTAGGTAACTATTTTCAAAGTACAGTAGGACTGACTCCACAGGTTGTACTGTCATTTAGTGACAGTAGACTGGGGAAGTATCTCTGCTTCATTGTCCGTATGGGTGAAGTAGAGATAATAAAAGTAGTGACCTCAGAGGGCTGCTGTGAGGATTAAGTTATAGAATTCTTGCCAAGCAGTTAAAACAATGCCTCACATAGAACAAGACCACAAAAAGCCATCTAATAAATACGTCTCTATACAACAATCTCAAATTACTTTTCTTATCTTTCAGTTTGTTTTATTATTATTACTACAAGGTGAGTCGTAAAAATTGTTAAAACAGTAGTCCTCACGCTTCGTTTGAGTGAGGACGTTAGAGAAGAGGGATGCTGTGCCTACTGCTGTGGCTGACCCTGATTTTCCTGGTAACTCACTCAGCCACCCTGCACCCCAGTTATTTTTTTGTCTGTATGAAGAAGGTTCTTTCCATATTTGAAAATCTGTGTATGTATGATTCCTTCATTGAGTACTTGCATGACCAATTTCTTAAGAGCTCAGCTTTTCCTTTCAAAATACCAAAATAAATCTTTGAAATAGGACTTAGTTTTGTTTCATTTAAAGACTATTACTTACCAGTGCCTTTATAGTATTTTGTACAGTTACCATATTCAATATCTTCCTTTTTAATATCAAATTGAGGCAAGGCAATTTTTTCTAACTGAACAGGATCCCCTGACTGCCAGATAAATCGTAAATCATCAGTTGTGTAACCAACTGTAAACAAAAACAAATAAAAATATTAGTTTGAAATATAATTATTATGCTTTCTTAATATTTTAATAAGTCAAATATTAAACAACAAAATGATATGAAAATGGAGACTTATATGAAATTGTTGTTAAACTGTAAAGAAGTGAAATCCATAGCCACTGATGAAAATATCAGCACAAAAATGAAAGATAGTTGGCTTAAGGAAAGAACAAGTTAAACCAATCAGCATATTGCAAACAGTTAAGATCCTAGTGTGTCATATACAGTAGTACGTTGTGTCAGAATTCCGAAATGTCATCAGTAAAAAAAGTCATAAATAAGTGATACTAGCTTTCTAAATGTCTACATTTACAATCATATAATATATATACAACCTGGAAATATGTAAAGAAATATAAGCACCAAAACATTTTTTAAAGAGGTCAGTACAAACTTCCCCAAAAGAGTTGCATTGCCACAGGAAAGCAATTAGCCCCTCCACTGGACGCCATCACAGCCCACGGGAGCACAGGTTTTGGGCGTAGGTAATGTGGCTACGGTTCAAGGATCAAAGGGGTTTTACAACATATAGTAACTTACTGTTCAACACTAAAGTGCATATATCTTTAAAGAGATACTTTAGTTCTTCTGGTGATAGAAATGAATATAAATATATAGCTGGACTTTTGATAAAAATGCACAGGCATACATAGGTACAACACATATACTAACATGGACATATACACACTGACATCTGCAAAATCTCGTTTTATAGCTAGAAAGCAGTAAATCCTGCTCAAATTTAAGACCCTGATTCTGTAATTAAAAAAAAAACAGCATATAATCACTAAGTAACTTTAAAATATATCATCCAGCAAGAATATGCAAGAGATTTTACAAGGTTACTATTGTTTACTCTTTACGGAAATGGGTTATGGTATATTCATGTTAAAGGTTCCTTACATTAGTGTTAATTTTTTGAATTTTATTTATTTTGAGTTTTATTTGCAAAAGATAATCATCATAGCAAATTAATGTTTTAGAGATAACAATTTCAATCAATATATTTAGTGCACATATAAAATAAAAATGATCATAGAAACAAAAATGTAATTTTACAAAAATAAATTTTATACATCCATAGAAAATGGATGCTTGGTAAGATTTAGAGAATATGCTTAAAATTATTTTCAAATTTTCTGATCTAAAAATATGGTTTTAATATCAGAAAATTATTAGAAGAGCATTTTCTCCTTTACCTTGCCTACATTACTAATTTGAATGAAGATGGCCATCGGGAGAAATTACAAGTGTACACCTGTATCAACTTAATTGAAATAAAAAACTTGTTCCGAAAGGATTTGTTTTAAACAAATTAATATAGTAAAAGATTAACTACTATTTCCCTACACAATTTTTTCTAATGATATTTTATAATAAAAATTTGTTATTTAAGATATTAGCATTGTAGAATGCATTGCCTAGACATTTGAAACATTTTATTCCTATAATCATTTAGGGTCTCATTTACATACAGCTCTCAAGTTGCATTTTGCAACGTTGTGTATCCATGGGAAACAAGGTCAAGTCCAATGGGCACGAAAGAGTAATAGATAACCTGAAAGTAGAAACAGATGTCGTAGAAGTCAGTTAATATATTTCTCTGTGATACACTGATTTTAAAAGGAAAATGAAAATGTACGTGCAAATACTAAAGATAAAAGAGTACCTCATGCTGACAAGGACATCTCCATCCCGAAAAATAAAAAGGAGGATATTTTCCTGGGTTACATCATGAAAATTGGCACTTTTTTCATTTGCAAAAAATAAATCAGGTTTCCACAGACATTTGTACATCGTGGGATCCACTGTCAGTGCATCCGAGCCCCGGAAGTCACTAGGGAGCTTTAGCCTGGGATCATTCCATTTTTGTCGCAAGAAGATGTTAACTCTATAGTCCTAGAAAAAAAATATGTGTGCAGGAATGTGTTTACTGCTAATTTTAAGAATGTATTTAGTGCCAGAATATAACGGGCTTCAGTGGTTAGCAGCAGAAATATGTTTTCTCTTCTAACATTAACCAGGATCAAAACAGCTTGGTCGTTAAGTATAAAGAGCTTTATCGGAAGTACAAAAAGACCCTTGTGTCTATTTAACTACTCTCTACAGACATTTCCATAGCACTTGCTAGCTCAAATGTCAGAATATAACTCTACCAGTAATTGCTTGACCTTTATATAAATGCCAATTATACCAGTTGGTTAAGTGGTGTTATCATAAAAGCATGAAAACTGCTAAACATTACCATTATTCTTCCCCAAAAAGCATAATAAAAATTTAGCTAAAAATAGATAAGAAGCCAAGGGAAAGTATTTCTATTTGTCTTTTACTAAGCAGCAAACTACAAGAATAACATACATGTACATTATATATCATAGAATATATTTCTGAGACGGAAAAATCTATCCTTGACTACTCGTACATGTGAATGATTACAGAGAGAATATGAGATAATTCAATGAGATTTGGATTATGCAAAGCAGATGAGAGCACATGCAACATTTGATGTTATATGCAACTATAGTAGAAAAATGTTTTGAAATCTACTGTCCTAGCTAATTCTATTTCAGTTTTTGTCTATCTCCAAGTGTTTTAATTTTAAAACATTGTAAAAATTAGATTATATAGATTTTAGAATATGCAAATATGTTTAATAGCTTAGTACATTTTATATTTGTCAGTGAAATGGGGTTTTGGCACAAATTGGGTTGTTAGTATATGAAGTCAAACTCAGACCTGAGGCATCAGGTTAGGTACTTTGATTTTAATTCTATATACTGAACTGAGAATGTGGACAAAAATGTTCTAGCTATAAATTGTATTGGGCTTCAGCTTCCTTATTTTTAATCACTCACAATGCATAAGCTACTATTCTAGCTATCTGTAAACCTTTGACATAATCAAAACAAATTATATTATAAATTTCAACCTAAAATCCGAATAATTAAATAGTAAGAGATGATAGTTCTTCTTTATTAAATAAGACCTAGTATATTTCTATGTATGAAAAGTGATATCACACATATACACATACATAATATATGTATAAAATAGAGAATGAAGCATTAGTAATACATAATGACTCTGGAAAAGACTGGGGAATTTGCTCTCCCTCTCATGTGATCTTCAGACAACGTGTAGTAATTAGAGAAGATAACTCACGATAACAATAAACATCTACTGAATTACAGACAGTGAAGTAAGATTTGATTTACCTATACTCTAAACTTGATGTTTGTAAAAACTTCAACATACAATATGAATTAATTCTTAAAAATCACATGCAGATAGTTTTAAAGTGCCAAAGTCAAAATAAATTAAATATTATATAAGCTGACACTGGACCTACCTGTATCACTGGGAAAAATAAAGTTAACATTTTCCAAACCAAATGAACATGGAATCGTGGAGTAAAAGAGGCCTAAAACTGTAGAAAATGAAAACCTACAATTTACCCTCCATAAACCTTTTTTTCAAAGTGTACACATATCTTAAAATTTCTAATAGGACTTCAGTGATTACTTCATATCTGACTTTGTGACAACTTCAAAAATGAAGTCAATCCAAGAGACAGGCCCATCTGCCTCCCAGGGGGAGCCTTTCCATAGACACAATGCCACTTCCTGGCAAAAGTCTGCATCCATTTCACCTAAATATGCACAGCCACCCACTTGTGAAGACTCATTAGGTTTCATCATTTTCTAATAAAGTACCAATTATGCTACCTTAGCTAAGGAACACATATGGTTGATACCCACTTGACATTACTTTGAGCACTCAACAGCAGTCAATTTCAAATTATTTGCTAAACAGCTTCTGGTAATGATCTGCCAAAATTATTGGTGTTCTCAAATTATGTGCAGTAAATATTATTTTGGTACCTCTAAATATTGTGCCTTATTAAAGAAAATCATCCAAATTATATCTTTAAACTCTGATATTTAAAATATGCATTTGAAATATTATGATTATATACTATGTCTTTAACTTACTGTCAAGGGTCAGTATAAAAAATAACTACATGTAGTTGCCCATGTGTTTTGCATAAGGTTGTTAATAAAGCCATGGCCTTTTATTTTGGTCACTGATGAATTCTTCATTATTAAACTTTCATTTGTTTGTATAAGTGTTACTAATATAATTATATTGGTATTTACCATTGTTAGACATTTTATTGGCCTAACTGCTTTACAAAAATACAACTATTTCTCAGTTTATACTATGGAAAGGCTATCCTGATCCTCCTATATGCTTCTTATTACTGGAAAGTAAGACTTAAGCATCTCATCTTGTTTTTCTCTGTGTCTGGCACCGAGGGAGCTGAAAGCTAATTCCTGTAGCCAAATGAATTCATTTATCTCTCAGATCCTAGTACGACTATCATTGTATAAATCTTGCACATTTAATACTATATATCGGGTTGGCCAAAATGTTTGTTTATTTTCCATACAATGGCTCTAGTGGCACTTAGTTGTCTTTAAGTTTATTCAAGACAATTTTGTTAGATTGTATTGAGACAGCTATCATATCAGTGTACACTTAAAAAACTTATCAAAGTTGGTGAATTTTTCTGTAGCCATTTTGATATTGAAGATGAAAAAAATAAGTGACATTTTGGCATATTATACTTTATTATTCCAAGGATGGTAAGATTGCAACTGAAATTTAAAAAAATAAGATTTGTGCCATGTATAGAGAAGGTGCTGTGACTAATCAAATGTCTCAAAAGTAGTTTGAAAAATTTTGTGCTGGAGATTTCTTGCTGGATGATGCTCTACCATTGAGTAAAGGAGTTGAAATTGATAATGATTAAATTGAGACATTAATTGAAAACAATCAATGTTCTACCATGTGGAAGATAGCTGGCATGCTCAAAATATCCAAATCAATACAGTTATTGGCAAAAATGAAAAATGTATGATTTATTTTAGGAAAAAACCTATATAGACTGTTGACCAACACAATATTTCATTGTGTTCTTTGTTATTATTTTTATACACCTCAAATCATTTCTAGAAATAGGGACAGATGAAAAACAAAATGACAGCTGAGAATTTGTCAGTTGTAACAAATGCACCACACTGGTGTGGGTTTTGATGGGGAGTACCGTGCATTTGTGGGAATGGGAGGTATATGAGAACTCTGTACTTTCTGCTCAAGTGTGTTAGAAACATAAAACTGCTTTAAAAATAAAATCTGCCATTAAATAGTGAAAGCAAAATATACTATAAACAAAACAAAGGGAAATAAATACAACATTAACAAAAAGTTATCAAAAAATTGGAGATAAGGCCAAAAGATTATTATTTGTGCTTCCAATGTCCTACATTGTTCAGCAAGCCTATGTAAGGGTTGAAAGTTCTTCAAGAAAATGTAACATTCTTTGACTTGCCATTTTCTTTGATTAAGGCCTAGACTCTGTAAAATTATATAATTTATAGAAGATTGATAAATTATACATGATGCAAATGATTTCTGTCAGGTGTAAAGATATCCCAAAGATTATGCCTTAATTGCCAGGTGGAATAATAATAAGTCAGTATCTAGTTTAGCAATCTAATTTCACCATTCTTTCTTTCACTGCAGCGAGACTCAGGATTCTGCTGAATTCTCCATTGAATCAACTTTAGCATTATTTTGGTTCCGTCATTAACATGTTGCATAAATCAATGAGATGTCCTACTATATGTTTTTTTTAATTTTTTAATGTAATTATTTTTCAAGTACAGTATTCTGTCTTTTACCCTCATCCCAGCCCACCCATGCTCCCCACCTCCCTCCCATTTCCTACTATATGTTTTTAACTTTAAAAAATATGCTTTATCCTAAAAAATTTACACATAAAATAACCACATGATCCAACAATTCCACCCCTAAGTATATACCCAAGAATGGAAAGCAGAGACTCCAACAAATTCTTGTATACTCATACTCATAGCAGCAATTCTCACAATCACCAAAAGGTCGAAACAACCCAAATACCGTTCAACAGATAAATGAGTACCCAAAGGTAGTATATACATATACATACAATAAAATATTATTAAGCCATAAAAATGAAATTCTGATACATGTTACAACATCAGTGAACCTTGAAACATTACCAAAAAAATCAAGACTGAGGAAGAGTTTGTCCAATATTCTTTTTAGAGTACCAAGACAGAATAATCCTCAGCAAGGCAAACATTTAAAGAGCAAGCTAGTAGACTGAAAAAAAAAAGAAGAAAAACCTGGAAATGTGATTTTGCCAAAGCAAAGGGGCAAAAGCTTTGAAATGGTCAACAGCAGCAAGAACTGCAGAAGGTCAAATACATTCAAACTGAACAGTCTGAAAACTCTCTCCGCAAATGGGGAAGCCATTTACAGTTTTAGCAACAACATTTTTGGTAGAATATCATATGAAAAGCAGTAGTACAGACGATTAAAAAGTGAGTAGAGGGCAACATTTCCAACTAAAAAGATGGAGATGATAATAATACAACATAGGGTTTTTATAAGGAGTAAGTGAAATAATACAGTATCTAAAGTCCATGAACTGCCATATTAAGTGCTAAACAAGTGTTTCTTTTCACTAGGATATATCCTTTATTTTGTTCTTTTTCTTTTATAGTGTTGATAATAGTGATGAACATGCTTTCGCTTCAAAGAAATCACATATAGTTTAATTCATTAGGTTTGCTCTCTCCTGTGTAGTACAACCTAAAATTGTGCCCAATGGTAATCTACTCCTAGGTCACAAATCTTGAAACAGTGCTAAAATATGTTTTTGGAGCACCTCCTGAATTCCTCTTGTTTTTAGCATACTAGTGTAAACTCAATATACTACATTAGCTTTGAGTCTCTATTATAATCCTTTAAAATTTTTTATCTTTTAGATAAAGATAAAATTTATATCTTAT